TGCATCGGGCTCGTCCGCATCCATACCGGCATCCATACCGGCATCCATACCCGTATCCATACCCGCATCCATACCCGTATCCATACCCGTATCCATACCGGAACCATACCCGTATTGTCACCTCCCCCATCCGTCTGTCTCCCCTATATCATCTCTGCCTTTATCTATATCTCCATCTCTGTATCATCTCTAGCTACAACTGTACCTGTATCTCTTTTTATATATCTATTCCTATATATATATACCTTTCTATATATATAAGCTATATTTATATCTTTCTATATATATAAGCTATGTCTTTATATCTCTATCTCCGTATCATTTGTATCTGTATCTCTGTATCATCTGTATCTGCATTTATATCCCTATCTCTTTATATGTATCTGTTTCTATTTATGTATTTTTATATCTTTTTATATATCTCTATATAGCTATATTTGTATCTGTGGATCTCTATTTATAAGTCTGTATCCCCTATACCTATATCTCTGTATTTCTATGTATCTATCATCTGTATCCCGATATCTATTTTTATATCATCTTTATCATCTCTGTAGCTCATCTTTGTCACCTATCTCTGTATTATTTACCCCTATATTATCTCCATATCATCTCTATCTCTCTATCATCTGTCTATGTCAGCTATACCTGGCTTTGTTTCTGTATCTATTTATATCTGTTTATTTCTGTCTACTTAATGCTCCCAGTTTGCATCCAGAGGCCCTGTCTCCAGCCAAACACAGCCGCTTCCTGGGGGGCTTTGTTTGTTTTTGTGTGTGTGATTTTGTGGTTTTTTTTTTTGTTTGCTTGCTGCTTTTCTGTATCTTTGCTGCCCGGGGAAGGGGTGTGGGATATTCCACATGCTCCGATCACCTCCTTTCTTTGCCCTGGGCCCAACCACCTGCTCCCAATCCCCCCCAGGGCCATTTTTAGCAGCGCCCGGGGCCCTTCCCAGCGCCGGTTATGCCGGGAGCCGCGGCCGAGCTATTCCTGCAGCGGGATTTCGGCACGGGAAGCCGAGGATTGGGGGTGTTTTAAATCCCTTTTAAACCAAACCTACAGTGAGAAGAATTAAGATTTCCCTGCTTTTTTTGGCGCCCCCCCGGGAAGAGGCTGCTTTGTGCCGCGCGGAAGCCTTCCCGCCAGCGCTGTTTTCCCATGGGTTTTCCCTGCCTCTGCTCGACCCCAGCGGCCTCCCCGGATGCAGAAGCGGTTGGGGAAGGCCGCACTCTAGCAAGCGGCGAGACGGCTTTTAAGCAACATAAATCTGATTTTTACATTCTTATTTTCCCTCCCATTTTCCCTTTTTTTTCCCTCCAATTTGCATTTTCTCGTAGCACGAAAAAGCCTAGATATTTTTTTCTTTTTTTTTTTTCCGGTTGAGCAACACCATTGAAAAGACAGCAAAAGAGTGTAAAAAAAAAAAAGCGTTTTGAATGCTGGGATCTTTTGTTTTCGCTGCCGAGCTGTCGCGGGAAAAGCCAACGAGAAACGCGGATTTGCAGGGAGAAAAGCAAGGCAAAAGCCAGAGAGGGCAGCTTGAAAATCTATCCCCAAAATAGAGCCTGTGTTTTGCAATAATTTTACCCAGTTTGGCCATCCTAACAGGGCTGGATTTGCAGACAGGGGACAGTTTGGGCAGCATCCCTGCTGGGAAAAAAGTGTGTGTGAATATATATATATGTATACACATGTTTAAAAGGCCGAAATGGGTCCAAAGGCCTCCTTTTAGGGAGCTGGGAGACGGCGAGCGAGGAGCTGCTTGGGTGACTGAGGATTAAAGGCCGGTTTCTGCCCACACCCAGCGAGCGGGCGGTTTATGGGCGTTTTTTCCGGGGTGGGGAGCGGTGAAACCGGCCGAGGAGCCTGAACTGGGCAGGTCGAGAAGCTGCCAAGGAGCCGGGAGGGGATAACATTTATGTAAAAAAAAGGCCGGTTTGGGAGGTTGCATCTCGCCGGGATGCAGGTGAAGTTTCGGGGCTGTTTTTCTGGGCATTGGGGCTTTTTTAGGGGGTAGGTTGCAAGGAGATGGGGGAGGTACAACCTGCCAAGCGCTTTCAGTGTCACGGGATTCCTGGAAAAGGGACGTGAGGAGGGAAAAGCATCTCTGGCTTCCTGGGGAAATCATCAGCGCAGGCAGCGGGCTCGGAGCAGCCCGTCGGGTTGATGTCTGGAGCGCTGTTGGAGCAGGATAGAGCACTTGGGGCAGTGGGAAAGGAGCCAGCTTTTCTCCGCTTGGGGCAGAAGTGTTTTACAAAGTGCTTTTTGGCTTCTTTTTTTTTTTTTTTTTTTCCCCTCCTATGATTATTACAACATGTTTTGCAAAGTTAGGTGTTCTTTTTTTTTGCAAAATTTTTGCAAAATTGCATCTGCAGCCTGTGGGCACGGGACGATTGCAGCTGGTGTGCGGTGATTTTGCCGGGTTTTTCCTCCTCTGTCCACCAAGCCAGGCAGGGATCCGATCGGCCGTGGCATTTGGAGGAAGTTAATGATTTCTCTGCCCGTTCTCCGGCCTGGCCTTCCTCATTCCTGCCCTCTTCCTCCTCCTTCCCCTGGGCTCCTGGTGACACAGTGTGTTTGCAGGTCTGGGCTTTCAGAGGGGTATGTGGATAGGAGCAAGAGCACACTGGCACTTTCTGCCTGTTGGGGACAGGTTCGGGTTGCAGGGGCCAAAATGCCCATGGATCAGCCACGCAGCCTTGCAAATTGGTCATGCATGGGGCGAGCTGGCCATGCAACGGGGCAAATGGGCCATGCACAGGGTGAATTTTTGTGCGCAGGGCAAACTGGCCGTGCAAGGGGTGAATTGGCCATGAAACAGGGTGAATTAACCGTGTGTGGTGCAAACTGGCCGCACACAGGGCGAATTGGCCATGTGCAGGGTGAATTTGATGTGCTTGAGGGAAAATGGCCATGCACAGGGCAAGTTGGACAGGCAAGGGGGCAAATGGACCATGCATGGGGGAAACTGGTTGTGGATGGGGGCGGAATTGGCTGTGCACGGTGGGAATTGGCCACGTGCAGGGCAAATTGACCATGCAAGGGGAAAGCTGGTTGTGCAGCAGGGCAAACTGGCTACACACAGAGTGAATTGGCCATGCAAAGGGTGAATTTGTTGTGCACAGGGCGAATTGCCTGTGCTTAGGGGATAGTGGCCATGCACAGGGCAAGTTGGCCATGCATGGGGAGAGCTGGCCATGCTGCAGGGCAAACGGGCCATGCACGGGGTACAGGGCAAATTAGTTGTGCATGGGACAAGTTGGCCATGCACAGGGTGAACTGGCCATGTAACAGGGCAAACATGTCGTGCTGCTTGTAAGCTGCTTGTTCATGGACAAATTGGCCATGCAACAGCGTGAATCTGTTGTGCATGGGGAAAATTGGTTGTGCACAGGGCAAACTGGCTGTGTGCAAGGGGAACTGGCCATGCTCAGGGCAAGCTGGCCATGTAACTGGGCAAACTGGCGATGGACAAGCTGAATTGGTTGTGCACAGGGTGAACTGGTTGTGTATGGAGTGAACTGGTTGTTCATAGGGTGAATTGGCCATGTAACTTTGCAAACTGTGCATGCACGGGAAGAACTGGCCGTGCAATGGCACGAACTGGTCATGCACGAGGGAACTGACCATGCAGTGAGGGAACTGGGTATATATGTGGGGAATTAGCTGTGCGATGGGGCAAATCGGCCTTGCACAGGGAAACTGTGTGTGTATGGGGTGCATTGGCTGTGTAATGGGGTGAACAGGCCATGCAGAGGGGTAATTGGCCCTGCATGGGTGGAATTGGATATGTGTGGGGAACCGGCCGCGCAGTGGGGCAAATTGGCCATGCGCAGGGGAAATTGGCCGGGTATGGGGGTAAGTCAGCCACGCACGGGGCAAACTAGCCATGCATGGGGTGCACTGGCCATGGCCCGTGGCCAGCCCGCCCTGCTTGCCCTCCC